CACCCCCCCCCTCCCCGCGTCGCCTCCTCTGGCGACTCGGGGGAAACCCTACTGCGCCGGCGGCACTTACCCCCATTCCCCTCCCCTGCTTCGCCGCCGCCGGAGGGGACGCGGGCTAAGCCGCGCGTGCCCCAGGGATGGAGGCGGCAGGGCTCTCGCGGTGGGCATACACGCAGATTCGGGGCGAATGCCTCACGTTGCGGTGGATCTGGTGGACGGCAGGCGTCGGATCCGGGCCGGCTGCCTCTCGTCGCGGTGGCTTGAGTGGACGGCGGCGACTGTGGCCGCGTCGCGCGTCGAGGGCAGCTTTGTGGTGGGCGCTGTCGGCGGATCTGGATCGCCCTGCGCGAGGTGACGGCGCCGGGTGCATGGTGCCGGCTTCCCGTGCTATGGTGGTCCGCGCGGCGGCGTCCTACCTGTGGCCCCGCCCCTGATGGTTATGGGCCAGTCGCTGCTCGTGTGGGGGTGGATTTGGAGGCTTGTTGGTGATGCGTTTCGCTGGACTGGCTGAATCCGGCTGGATCAGCCCGTGGTCGTCCGGCTTGGGGTAGAGGAGGATGGTGGTGAGTGGTGCAGGTGGAGGTGGAGGGGGTGGTGGCAGTGTTGCTGCAGCCGATGATCTCACTGCTTTCTATTGGCTTGGCGGGCGGTTCGGTTTTGGTCTCCGACGGGTGTGCGGTGGCGCGCGTGGGGCGTGTGGCACACCTGATGTATGGCTGCAGCCCGTACCATGGTGGTTCTTGGCCTCGGGCAGTGCTCCTCTGCTCCTTGCCGGCATGGTGCTTGGAAGGGCATGGTGGCCTACGCTACGTCCGGTGGCCAGCGCTCGGGCGACCGCTGATGGATCTGGCGCCTAGTGCTGACATTTTGTTGCCGGTGGTATCCGCAGGGTGCGGTTGGCTCCGGCGGCTTGTCGTGATTTTTCGTCTTCTGAAGGGTTCGATGGTGTGGTGGTCGGCTGTCGTCTTAATTATTGTAGGGATGTGCTCAAACTCCGGGCGAGAACCCTGCATCGACTATGTCGATGCTGGTAGACGTCGTTTTCCTTGCAAGAGGTGCCGTTGTGGAGCTCTAGCACCTATAATACTTTCTTTTGTGGTCTCCGGGTGAAAACCTAAGATCGGGCTTGCCGTATCGGATGGCGGTGTTGTGTCCTTGACAACACTATATCCTTGGAGGCGTCGTCTTGGAGACCCAAACGACGGCTTCAGTTGCTGTGTCTGGTTGAGGGTGGTTCGCGTGGTGGTGGTGGTGTGGCCTGCTCAGGACCGAGGGTGATGTGTTCTTCTTTAGGTGTTTCTCTTCGGCTGTCCTACGTGTGGTCTCCTGCCTCCTACTTTGCATGCTCAAGACCCTGTTCTATTGAGGCGAGCCTCGGGCTCTTGGTTCATCTTTGCTCAATGACGACGCAATGACGCCTCCTCGACTTGCTAATCGTCTTGAACTTTCGTGGTGGAGCTCTCAGTCAAGGTTTGTGTTAAGCGTTCGCACTCGTTGATTGTGGATGCTCCTCCGTTGTACCGTTGGTGCGGTGCGTTAGGCTGTTTGTAGAGTCTTCGTATTGTGATCCCTCAACGCACCCCTCATCTACCTGGTCCTGTTAGTTTGCTAGCTAGGTCTTGCCTTAAAGCATCTCCAGCCGTTCGGCCCCCCAGGGCGCCGAAAAAGAGCGGCCTGGGGCGAGCTGGCGGTAGATCGCCCCCTGGGGTTCGGTTCGCTCCCAGTCATGAGCCAACGGTCGCCGCGGGTTTGACGAAGTTCGTTTTATTTTTTTTGCAAACTCGGCGACTTTTGCATGAACTCGGCCAATTTTCGACGAAATTTGTACAAGAACTTAAAAACATGCATGAACTAACTTAAAAACGAACTAAAAAGCCTAGCCGCTGCCGCCACCGTGGCCGCCGTCGTCTACATGCCGAGAAGCCTATAGAAGCGAGTGTAGTCGTCGCTGTCGTCGTCGTCGTTGTTGCGCGCCTCGCCTGCGGCGTACCTGCTGCATCCCTCGCCGGGGTCGCCGACAGCGCTTGACGGCCCGGCCTCGCCCTCGTGCTTGCTGTCGATGATGATAACACCGCCCTCTTCGGCGATGTGGCTACGGGCCTGGGTCTCCAGTTACGCCCGACGCTGGCGGCGCACCTGCTCGCGGACCTAGTCCTCCCTCGCCCATTTGAGGGCGGACTCGTCGTCGGGGGCCACCATGCCGGCATGCTCCAGCTTCATGAGGAGCATGTCTGGCTCGGGCTTCGGCCGAACCAGGCGGAGGGAGCGCCTCGTTGGTGCTGTCGCAGGCGAGGGTTCGTTGATGACGAGGACGCCGCTGCGAGCACGACGCCCGAGCGGTGTCTCCTCCGGCTCGGGCTTGACGGGGCGGAGGGCCGGCGAACCGGAGCCCGACGACGAGGACGACCCCCGCTCCATTCGCCGCGGCATCCAGGAACTGCTGCGGCGGCGAGAGAAGGAAGGCCGCGTCGGGTACTCCAGCCGCGGCACATTGCCGGTCTCGATGTGGTCGAGGACGGCGTCGAGTGTGCGGCCGGGGACGCCCCACCACCCGCGCCGTCCTTCGGAATTGAGGCGGTCGCGGGGGGTGATGCCGTTGGCGGAGGCGATCTGCTCCTCGCGGCGGCGCTGGAAGTACATAGTCCACAGCGTTTCGCTGTCGGGCGCGTACCTCAGCTCGTTCCGCTGCTCCTCCGTCAACGAGGAGCGGATGCGGGCGATCTCCGCCCGCCGTGCCGCCCCTTCGGGCACCGGCGGCACCGGGACGCCGCCGGCGCTCAATCTCCATGAACCAGGCACGCGCATGTCGGGGGGCGCCGGGTACTCGGCCTCGTATAGAAGGTGCGCCTCCGGCTCCTGGAGGTGTCGGCGGTCGAAGCCGTTCGCCGCTGCGCCGTCGCCTGGGTATCTCTCCGCCGTGGTTTCGCTCGTCGGCGGGCAGGGGAGTGGTGGGAGAGCTCGCCGGCGGGGAAAAGGCTTTCACTGGAGGTAGAGGGGGAGGCTGTTGCGCTCACCGGCGAGGAGAGGCGCGTTTTATAGCCGAAGCGGGGTGGCCGGTGGCGGCATGCGGGCGGACGCGTGGCGCATGCAGGTGGGACGCGCGTCGGCAGCGTCTTCACTGCGCCGCTCGTGAGGCATCAATGGAGGCTGCAGCGCGGCAGCCTTCGCATTGATTCTCGCGGGAACCGAGGCATTGAGGTCGACGAAGCAGTTGTCTCGCTGACTCGGCGGGCCCGCGGCTGTTTCGCGCCAAAACACTCGCCCTGGCGCCCCCCGGCGCGTCGGGTTCGGCTTGGGTCCGCCGGTGCTGATTTCGGCCCAAGCCGGCGAAAAATGGACTCCTGGGGACGCGACTAGGCCCTTTTTCCGGCGCCGGCGTAAAAAAATCGCCTGGGGAGGCCGTTCTGGGGGCGCGGCTGAAGACGCTCTTATGTTGGGCGTCATGTTCCTCTCCTTTTCTTGTAACATTTGTTATCTGTCTAGTTTTCGGCTCGGTTTTCTTCATAAACGAGGTCAATTTGTTAAGATTTTCGATCCGGTTTTCCTTATAAACTGGATCACTCTCCTGACATTATGGCCACTTTGAGCAATATATTCAGGTGGAGGGACTCCTCCCCTTCCCCCGATGATTTAAAAAAAAAGCACCTTTAGTCACGCTGCCATCGACTGTCCTGTGGTGGGGCCCATCGGTCAACACATTTCTGAGATCATTATTGAGGTTGAGTTTGGTTCGGAGGATTTATGGAGGAAAAGTACAGGAATAAAGAAACAGAGGAAAGATTCCCTGATGCAGCGTTCGGTCTACATGGATGAAGTACTAGAATTCCATAGGAAAGTTTCTGTAGCCTGCAGTTTCACGGGAAATCAAACATCCAGTGCGAGCTCTTTTTCTGCATGGAGTCCCGAGGTGAGGCTGGTGAAAAGCAAGTTGAGACCCACACCATGAGAGGCTTCAGTCTTGCATGACAATAATTTAGGATGTGAAGGGACCCACATCCTTGTTTTCCTTTCCTTTGTACCGAACGCTCCAGATATTTTTACTTTCGTTGTCTCTAGTTTCGTAGGTTCCAACTGTTACCTCGACCCAATTTCTACAAAGCTTTTTATTCCTTTGTTTTCTATACATCCATTACGAACGAAGCCTGAGTGTACTCGTCAATGGTAAGACAATGCCGAGTTTGATCGCCGAGTTACTTTTCCTCGGGATTGGGCAAACTAAAATGTTTGCCGAGTTGCTTGTTATTTCCTCTGCACCGCAGCTTCATTGCACCTGCGGTGAGCGGAGAAGTGTGCGTTTCTAAGTGTGTCGTCGGTAAAAATCGACGAAATTTCAGCACTTACCAGGGGGGCGCCCCGTCAACTACGTCAGCCGTGCATGCATGCGGACTGGATTATTCCACCGAGATGGAAAATCGCACATTTGAAAGTCAGGATGCCTACCATCACCGGCGCGGCTCCCAATCATGTATCGGCGTCTCCGCCTAGCTCTAGCTAGCTATAAAAGACCCTTTTGGTTCGCCAACTCCCTCCATCGATCGACATGGATCAAGCCACCATTCTCGTAGTGGCCGCGTGCCTCGCCGCCGCCGCAGCAGCACTGCTCTTAAATAAGGAGGCCAAAAACCGGCAAACCACCCGGCGCCGCCGTGGCATTGCTTCCGCCGGTGGCGAGCGGCGTTTCCGCGATCGCGGCGTTGGGTACGCTCGTCACCAAGGGCCTCCCTGCCGTGATACACGACCTGCACGGCGAGCTGGGCAGCGTGTTCACGGTGAGCCTCTTGGGGTTGAAGAAGGTGACGTTCCTGGTCGGGCCGGAGGTGACGGCTCACTTCTTCAAAGGCTCCGAGTCGGAGATCAGGCAGTCGGATATCTACAAGATCACCGTGCCTATCTTCGGCCGCGGGGTCCTCTTCGACGTGGATCTGCCGACCAGGAGCAGGCAGATCAGCTTCCTGTCCGACGCCATAAAGCCCGTCAACTTGAGGGGCCATGTGGATTCCATGGTTCGTGAAGTGGAGGTAAGCAACATATATATGCAGAAGAGTTCACTCCAGACCTAGGTGAGTAAATTGCAAAAAACCATCATAATTAGAGACCCTAATTCACAAAACCATCATCATTCGGATTTTTTTTAAAAAACCACCACCATTGGGGTAACAGTTTTCAAAAGACGCTGATCTGTCACTAAACACATGTTGACATCATTTCTAACGGATGGGACCCACTGTAAGTGCTGATGTGGCAAAAAAACTTGTCACCGTTAACTTGTCTGTTGAACTAGAAGAAGGGGCCACCCGTCAGCTGCTGCCAGTGGAGGGGGCAACTGAGGTCAACGGCGAGCAGGGGCCCTCCAGCTCCGGCGACGCCGAAAACCAGGCCGCTGGATCTGGCGGACAGGAGCCGCATCGGGCGAACCTGCGGGCGGTGCGGGAAGCCGGCCCCTCCCCGTTTCCTGGTACTGGCGTGAACATATGCGGTGCCGCCTCCTGTGCATTGTATGGATCGGGCGTCCACCGTGGGTCACGCACGGGCTGGCTCCGGTGCTCGCTGTCCAGATACGGCGTCCGCCGTTAGGGTCCCACGCCGAACCACCGATTGGCGCCGGCGAGGCAAGCCGCTGTCGCCCCGCCGTTCTTGGGGATTTGAGCAGCAGCGGCCGCCACGCAAGGGCCCGCGAGCAGCAACCCCGTTCGCGCACGGGCACGAGCAGCCATCGTCGCGCAAGGCGCGCACTGGCGTGCTAGCAGCGGCCCCGTCCGTGCACGGGCGCTCGAGCAGCAGCGCCGCGCACCCCGCCTCCTCCAAAGCACGGGCGGTCGGGCGCGTCGCAGCGGGGACATCGAACGCGATGGCCATGGCCCTGCTCCGCCTCCGGTGCATGCCGGGGCTCCCGAGGGCGCCGAGAGCACGACCGAGCTCTCCTCGCGGGTCCTGTCGATGGCAACCTCCAGCGCGGCGTGCATGGCCACCTCCACAACTTCAGGTGACTTGGCCAGGAGCAGGCGCAGGCGCTCTGCGGGGCGGCGACGAGTGCGACTTTGACTGGTCAAACTTGACCAGATAGCGCCGTTAGTATGTACATGACCGGCGCCGTCTACACCTCGGCCACATTACATCCGACAGTGGGACCCGGCGGTTAATTTTTCGTCAAACGGCTCTAAGCGACATATTAGCGTTTTTTGAAAACTATTACCTTAATGTTGGAGGTTTTTTGAAAAAAAACCGAATGGTGGTGGTTTTATGAATTAGGGTTCCCAATTATGGTGGGTTTTTTGCAATTTACTCGACCTAGGTACATATGCATGCTCGTCCATGCATGCATGGATGGATGGCTCTTTTTATAATTGTTGTTTGGTCCTTTTCTTCATCCATGTCATCATCTTCGAGCTTATCTGAACACAAATCTTGTAGGACTACTTTGGCAAATGGGGAGAGCATGGCACGGTGGATCTGAAGCAGGAGCTCGGGCTGGTACTCATGCGGATCGCCAACCGGTGCCTGCTCGGAGAACAGATCCGAGACAACATGTTCGACGAAGTAACCCATCTCCTTCACGAGCTCTTCGAAAACGGCTTGCACATGGCCAGCCTCTTCTTCCCGTACCTCCCGATCACACCACACCGCCGGCGCGACGCGGCCCGGGCCAAGCTGGGGGAGATATTCCACGAGGCCGTCAGAGCACGCAGGACCTCGGGCCGAGCCGAGAACGACGTGCTACAGAAGCTCGTGGAGTCAAGGTACGCCGACGGCCGCCCCGTGACCGAGAGCGAGATCGCCGGGCTACTCATCGGCATGATTTTCGCCGGGCAGCACACGAGCGCCAGCGCCGCTATCTGGACAGGAGCTTGCCTGCTCAGCCATGGAGACGGCCGCCACCTCGAGGCCGCCGTCGAGGAGCAGAGACAGATCATCTTTCGACACGGCAGGGAACGCGTCGACTACGACGTCCTGCGAGAGATGGGCACCCTGCGTTGCTGCATCATGGAGGCGCTCAGGATGCACGCTCCGGCGAACGTGATCATCCGCCAGGCGAACAAGAGCTTCGGCGTGCAAGCAAGAGATGGCAGCAGATACGCGATCCCCAAGGGGCATACCTTGGTAACCTCGCCGGCGGTGAACAACAGGCTGCCACACATTTTCGAGGACCCTCATGTGTATGACCCGTCTAGGTTTGGCCCTGGGAGAGAGGAGGACAAAGTTGGCGGCAAGTTCTCGTTCACGCCCTTTAGTGCCGGGAGGCACGTTTGCTTGGGGGAGGACTATGCTTACATGCAGATCAAGGTGATATGGAGCCATCTGCTAAGGAACTTTGAGCTCAAGATCGTCTCCCCTTTCCCTGACGAGGAATGGGAGAAATTCATTCCAGGGCCAAGAGGCAAAGTGATGGTTACTTACAAGAGGAGGCTGCTGGAATGAGTATTAATTAGCTAGCTAGCACCAATTAATAGATTATTATGTAAGGATATGTGTGTAAGAACTGATTTTTAGTTTGAGTTTTCCTTTTTCTTTTACTTTCTCTTCCCACCTAAATGTTCTTTCATATGTACCTATTCAAAGGTAACCTATGTGACCATTATATAAAAAATCTAATGATATTTGCAGAAAATAAATGGGATATTAAGGTTGATAGATGGCAGGCCTGGTTTCTCTCACTTTATGCAACGAATTTTGAAAGTGAGACCTATATACTAAGAACATCTCTAGCCGATCCCCGTAAGTTAGTTCCTCATTCTAACCCTCGTCCTTCACGTCCCTATTTTTTTAAGGAATTACTCTTTTTTGCTTAGGTGGTTATTCTACACCGAGGGACATTGCACCCATGATAAATAAAACAATCTAAAACTTTGTGGCTTCAATCACGAACAAATGATGCATGCAAAATTTGGTGGTCAAATGACATCCGACTGCATGTCTTCATGAGTGTCACGACTGCGGAAGTGGACCCTCTGACGTTTAGGAGACAAGTTAGGTAGCTACAGTTGCCTCCATGTGTAAAATAGAGGAGGAAAGTCAGAGGGATGAAACCATCGAAATATCATTGTATACTATGGATTAGTGCATACAAATTACTGTTGATAAGTCAGAGGATCTCGTTCCCACGGCTGCATGTTTTTAAGGGGAGAGGGCGTCGCGACTGCATGTTTTCAAGAAATACAAACGGGTTTAAACGAACCGAATTGGGCACTTTTCTAGGACAGTTTTGCTAGAACTCATCTAGATGAGATATAATTTGGTTTCATTCACCTTTTATAGTCATTGGATGTGATGTTATAAGATGCGTGTGTGCTGACGTGGGTTATTTTTGTTCTTGATTTTCAAGTGAATGAGACCAAATTATATCTCATTTAGATGAGTTCTAGGTACTCCCTTTCTAAGATGGTAAATTTTTTGCAAAAAAAAAAAATAGTCATGGAGTGATAGCTTTTGAATTATTCTTTACAAAGTGTTAGTTTTTCGCCAGGGTGAGTCGAATTGTGGGCATGATGAAGGCATTGTTAGAGATAGAGTGGAGGAGCAATGGAGCATGCATGCATGGCTTGGAGCTTAGGAACCCGCATCCTCCGACAGATAGACGCGCTTTCCTTTTTCTTTGCTTTGCGAATGGATAGACGCGCTTTCGGAATTTTACCGATCGATCCAAATTTACCGTGCTTTTCTAACCTGCTGCTGGTTCCTACTAGCACATGTGCCGCAGCGAGCCGAGGTGGGACTGGTGCCCTGGTCATCCATGCAGAAACAAACGATCGCTGCTGCGCCGTGTAGTAGTATCGATATGATCGGAGTCACTCACGGTCGGGCAACGCTTTCGCTTTACGCCGGAAACGGCAAGTTTCCGCCACCCGGAAGGAGGCGCGGTGACCCGAGCACTTCCCAGACCGGCAACGCAGCCGCCGCTTTTGTTTTCTTCCACGCGCACCGCCGCAGAGGATCGGTGACCGGCTTGCTGCTTTCCGGTCGGGCGTGACGGGCGGACCTTTCACGGTATACTATCCATCACTAGTCGCCGGCGAAACTTCCTGGAATTTTCGTCTGTACGGCGGCGCGGGGCCACGGACTATCACTAGAGGAGAGGAGAGCACCACGGACTGACTGACTTGCTGCTCGATCTCTTCTTCTTCTACCTAGCTTGGCTTCGGCGTCGATCACCAGTCCCCGCGTTCCGAGCCAAGAGAGAAGATGGGCCGCGGGAGGACGGAGATGAAGAGGATCCACAACGACGTGTCGCGCCGGGCCACCTTCGGCAAGCGCCGCCGCGGCCTGCTCAAGAAGGCGGGCGAGCTCGCCGTGCTCTGCGGCGTGGACCTCGGCCTCCTCGTCTTCGACGACGGCGGCGCCGGCAAGCTGTTCGACTACTGCAGCCCCAGCACAAGGTCCGTTCTCCGTCCGTTCCGTCACGCGCTAGTCGAGACAAGCGAGATTCTGCATTATGGTTTTGATGATCATGCCGATTACTGAATCTGCATCCCTTGCAAGTGCCATCTTTGGCATCGTCCTAGCCTGCCGCAGTATTGGCAATTGGCATGCTCGAATTGTGTTTTGTTTGTGATCAAGTTAGCCAGATGATGCTTTCGAATTTGGCTCTGATTTTAATCTTCTGCTCGGATTCAGATGCTTATGTTCATATTCAGTGTACAATATTACTATAGTTGTGACATATTTATACTTCACCTGTCAATGTTAAGCTGGAGCGAGCTAATTGAGCGCTACGAGAGCATCACCAACCACAAGTTCCAGTTCCAGTTCCAGTTCCAGGGGATAGATCATGATGATGATGATCAGGTCAATAAACAAACACATCCAGTCATGTACAACATACAGTACATACACACATTTGTACACTCAGAGTTAACTGCATGCTTGCCTTTCTGATTGATCTATGCGATTCTTCGCACACAGCAACAGTTGGCGGATCTGAGGCGTGAGCGTGACCGTCTCGAGGCCAGCGTGAGGAGGCAAACCGGAGAAGATCTGCCATTCGCCGCGACGGCGGCCGAACTGGACGATCTGGAGCAGCGGCTGGAGTGCGTGCTGGGTGAAGTCCGTGAAATGAAGGTACACACATCCTACACTGCACACAATTCTGTGTTGCTCACATGCCCAGTGTTTGAGTGAGCTGCATGACAGTCTCGTGTGTGTGTGTGTGTGTGTGTGTGTGTGTGCAGGACAAGCTGCTGGAGCAGCAGTTGGCCGAATCATACCACAAGGTAAGCGTAATCCTAGGAGAACCAAAATCAATTCAATCAGAGGCACACACGCAAATTTTCATCTGGAAACTAACTGTGGATGACATTGCACATATGACACGTAGGTGCGCATCTTGCAGGACCAGAACAGCTTCCTTCGCCGCCTGGTAATTTGCATCGCTGCCTGCCTATGTCTGCTGAGCTGCTATGCATACTTACTGACTTCCTGAATGTGTTTTCACTCTTTGTCAGATGGGCGAGGAGGGGCAGCAACGTGCTGCTGTGGAGGCGTCATCGGTTGCGCCAAAGCTACCGGCGATGGCGTTCGGGGGATCCTTCCCGGAGGTGGAGGAGGAGGAATTGACGACACTGCGGCTGTGGCCGCGGCAGCTCCCCGATGTGTAAGGCATAGGCCTCAAGCCCAGCCTGCGGCTGTAACGATTAAGGTCGTGCGTATGAACACACTAGCTATTAGCCTATTAGATAGACTACCTTATTGGTACCTGCAAAGCAAAAAAAAAAAAAAGACTACCTTATTGGACATTGGTGATCAATCTGCATCCTGACTGGTATTGTTGCATATTGTTCTGTTGTTTTGCAGGTCGAGGAGAAATGATAGCCCGACGGAAGACAGACGGAGACTATCATTGATTAGTTAACAAATCTAGCTCAAACTTACTAGTAGCAGGCCTATGTTCAGACGACATATACGTCAACAAATAGCAGACGCCCGTATTTTGCTCCACCCAATTTACTGTATGACTGTGTGAGCAGCACTCCCCATATAGTATCACGTTGGTTCATATGAATTTACTGCGGTGTTTTGTTTAACATCGGTGTTGAAACTCTGGCTTTGATCAACATGGGTATTACTACTTCGATTCTTTTAGGCAACATGGCCAAGCTTTATTAGTCAACCATAGCTTCCTTCTTCCTTGCGGCCTTGCCACGAGAGGTGGAGCATTGTGTCCCGGCTGGCCTGGTGCTGCACCAAAACAGGTGTCGTACACGCCTTGCAAGTTACACCAAATTGGATGCGCAGCTAGGGTTCATGTTGCTTCGCTGAACTTGTTCTAGAGTTTTAGACTTTTAGGTAACAACTTAAACTTTGATTTCCTTCCGTTTATCTTCAAACTTTGGAAACCGTTCACTTTACAATCATTCTTCTCATATATAAAATCGGGAACTAACCTAACCCTCCCTCGATTCCCCGTGTGGCGGCGCCACACCACACCGGGGCTACCCTTGCTGGCGCTCGAGGCCCCCTCCCCTACCTCCGCTGTTGCCAGAGGCCCCGTCGGGCAAAGCCCGCGCGACGTGGCGGCAGCGGGGCTCCTGCTGGTCGCTGCCAGGTGTGGTGGCGGCGTCGCCCATTTTCGCTCCTTCAGCTGCGGTGGTGTGTTGTGTTAGCGACAACTGGTTGGTAGAGGCGGCGGGGCGGGATCGATCTAGTCCCGCATGGGCCTGGCAAGCCCTGATCCTGCACCTTGTTGGTTCCTGTGCGTGGCACCGACGATCTGCGGCTCTGCCCACATCACTTGGGCGCCAAGGTGGCTGAGGGAGTCCTGAATTAGGGGGTCTCCGGACAGCCGGACTATATCCTTTGGCCGGACTGTTGGACTATGAAGATACAAGATTGAAGACTTCGTCCTGTGTCCGGATGGGATTCTGCTTGGCGTGGAAGGCAAGCTAGGCAATGCGGATATGGATATCTCCTCTTTGTAACCGACCTTGTGTAACCCTAGCTCCCTCTGGTGTCTATATAAACCGGAGGGTTTTAGTCCGTAGGACGACATACAATCATACCATAGGCTAGCTTCTAGGGTTTAGCCTCTCTGATCTCGTGGTAGATCAACTCTTGTAATACTCATATCATCAAGAATAATCAAGCAGGACGTAGAGTTTTACCTTCATCAAAAGGGCCCGAACCTGGATAAACATCGTGTCCCCTGTATCCTGTTACCATCCGCCTTAGACGCACAGTTCGGGACCCCCTACCTGAGATCCGCCAGTTTTGACACCGACATTGGTGCTTTCATTGAGAGTTCCACCGTGTCGTCACCGTAAGGCTTGATGGCTCCTTCGATCATCGCGAGCGATGCGGTCCAGGGTGAGGCTTTCCTCCCCGGACAGATCTTCATATTCGGCGGCTTTGCACTGCGAGCCAATTCGCTTGGCCATCTGGAGCAGATTGAGAGCTACGCCCCTGGACATTAGGTCAGATTTGGAAACTTGAACTACACGGCCGAAATCCGCGGAGACTTGATCTTCGACGGATTCGGGCCCATGTCGGACGCGCCGTACAGTCTTGACGAGTATGACGTAACTCTGCCGTCGGACAGTGTTCGGGAGATCGCATCCGCAGCTACTCCGTCCATCAATTCGGAGCAAGTCGCGCCATCCGAGAGCGGAGGGATGGGCCCCGCCATGGAGGCCGCACTCTCAGTGGCGATAGAGCCGGATACTGACTTCACCCCTTACGAGAGCTGTGTCGCCAAACCACTGGATTCATCTCCGGCCACGGACTCCGAGCCGCTCATATCCGTGCCCGTCGAGTCCGACTGGGCGTCGGTCATGGAGTTCACCTCCGCGGGCATATTTCAGCACTCACCCTTCGGGGATGTGCTAAATTCATTAAGGTCTCTCTCCCTGTCAGGAGAACCTTGGCCGAACTATGTCCGGCTAGAATGGGATGCGGACGGCGAAGAAATTCGCTGCCAACGCACCACCCACTTAGTAGCCACTTTCGACGACTTAACCGACATGCTCGACTTCGACTCCGAAGACATCAACGGTATGGACGACGATGCAGGAGACGAACAGGAACCACCGCCCACAGGGCGCTGGACCGCTACTTCATCATATGACGTATACATGGTGGACACACCCAAAGAAGCCAACAACGATGAGACAACAGAGGATGACACCTCCAAGAAGCAACCCAAGCGCCGACGTCAGCGGCGCCGCTCTAAGTCCCGCCATAGCAAGAACAACGATAATAATAGTCCACGCGACTCTGGAAGAGACGACAACTGCACCACCTCGGTGGCAGAACACGATCAAGACGCAAACTGCAAACATAGTATGGATCCGACGTCCGAACACAATGGCAGCCCTAACAAGCCTCATGACCCGCTTTTGTGCGGGTGAGGATAGCTGGTTGGCCCGTAGCAGCACCAACGACCGAAGCACAACCGAAGTCAGGGATGGCAATGGTAAACCACGACGCGACAAAAACAAGCGTCGAAATAAAGACGGTAGCCCAGATAACACGGCGGTAAACGCCGGATTCAGGGGCTCTCGACCAAGTCAGCGGAAAAAGCCTTTCAAAGGTAGTAGAGAAGGACAACCTGACCTAAACAAAATTCTTGACAAACTCTGTCAGATTCACGGCACCCGAGAAAAACCTGCAAACCATACCCACAGAGAATATTGGGTCTTCAAGCAGGCCGGTAAGCTAAACGCTGAACAGAAAGGGGAAGAGACACCAAGCGAAGCCGAGGATGAACCTCGCCAGCAAAGCGCCGGAGGATAGAAAAAGTTCCCACCAGAGGTTAAAACAGTAAACGTGATCCAGGTGACAAAGAGGAGAAGCAATCACGCACTCCGATGCACACGCGCCATAGAGCCCGTCACCCCTAGGCCCAACCCCTGGTCGGCCTGCCCGATCACTTTCGATCGCAGGTATCACGATACACATATCCGGCGTGAAGGACTGACGGCCTTGGTGTTAGACCCAATAATAAATGGGTACCATTTCACAAGGGTCCTCATGGATGGCGGCAGTGATCTAAATCTGATATATCAGGACACAGTCCGCAAAATGGGGTAGACCTGACACAAATAAGTCACAATAATACTACCTTCAAGGGAGTAATACCAGGCCAAGAGGCCCACTGCACGGGCTCTCTACTACTAGAGGTGGTATTCGGTTCTCCCGATAACTTCCGGAGTGAAACGTTAACTTTTCACATCGCTCCATTCCGGAGTGATTTTCAAGCACTACTCGGAAGGGCGGCTTTCGCTCGTTTTAACGCAATACCGCATTATGTTTTTCTCAAGCTCAAGATGCCCGGTCCACGAGGCGTCATTATAGTTAGTAGAAGTACCAACCGTTCTTTACGAACGGAAGAGGACAAGGCGGCTCTAACAGCTGCACACTAGACACGGTTAGACGAGTCCGGCGTTCCATCATACATGCATGAGATTGGTTTTCGCACCCTCATAAAACGATACCAGGGGCTTCCCGCGTGTAATCAGGGCCATCCCGGCTCAACTAGGCCTCTCTGGAATTTTGATAATTCACTCTTCTTTTTGGCACGGCAACTTTCACCTAAATTTTTTCCTTTTGCAGGTGGCAATCGTGCTACACCCGTCCAGGACACGGCACAATGGAGACATAGGCGCAGACGTGCAGCAGGGACCCGCCCAAAGGTTTCTTTTTAGATTAAGGCCCTGCGTAAACCTTTTTTACTATCTCTTGTTGCTTCGCGACGACACTTCAAGGTCGCCCGCTTCTTGAGCTGGGGAGTCCGGGGGAGGCGTTTCGCTCTTTATCATCTCCGGAAGAAGATCCCCCGAAGATGAACTCTGTCGATAAGGGTTGCGATCCGGACTGCAGTTTATAAGCATTGGTTATTGTATTCGGAAGTAAGGTAGGATATCTTCACCATTAAGTACTTTTTGATTACTTACAGCTCGGTAGAGGGCTGATCCCCGTGCGGACATTGTGCGGCAAGAATACCCTCCGAGGCAGGACCCTCTGGCGGAGATTTCTTCTCCCGTTTGGAAACCTTAGTTTCCAGATCTTCACAGGTAGTCCTCTTCCTTCCACAGGGGGAGAGAATGTCAGATTCTTCCCCTGTGTTATCCTCCTTCGCGGAGACACTCATTCCCTCGGTTGGAATAGTTAGCGAAGGAGGCCCGTTTTTGCCCTCTTTATTCCCCCCTTCATCTTCCTTTGAGGGCACTAGACAAGGTGCTGGCTCAAGCATCTTTTCCAGCATCGGATTGTCCAAGCCCTCAGGAAGGGGGGCCGAACACTGGATCATCTTCGCCTTTGTTATCCAGTCCTGGTCCAAGAGCGATTCTTTAGAATGATGTCATGATAAATAAAAGGACAGTGTGTTCGGCCATGGGATTACTTACTTGGGCAGCGGGGCGGTTGCAGCTTAGGCCCACGTCCTCGGTGGTGTCCGGACACTCTATGTGGGGTCTGAAGAACGATTTGTACATCTCCTCATGCGTCATGCCGAGGAAATGTTGAATAGTGCACGTTCCTTCCGGGTTGAATTCCCACATGCGGATGGGTCGGCGTTTGCAAGGCTGGACTCGACGAACCAGCATAACTTGCATTACCATAACCACACTGAAATCTCCCTCGAAGAGATCTCGGATACGGCTAT